CTGCTTAGGGCAGAGATGGCGAACCTATGACACGCGTGTCAGAGGTGACACGCGAACTCATTTTTTTGGTTGATTTGTCTTTGTTAAATGGCATTTAAATATATAAGATAAATATCAAAAATATACATCTTTGTTTTACTATGGTTGCAAATATAAAAAAATTTCTATATGTGACACGGCACCAGAGTTAAGTTAGCGTTTTTCAAAACGCTGACACACCAAGCTCAAAAGGTTCGCCGTCACAGGCTTAGGGCGTGTGGGTCTCCTTTTGGGGTGAAAATGCTTAGGAACTAGAGGGAGGTGGGTGCACACAGTGAGAATGTGCTAAATGCCACTGAACTCTTCACTTTAAAATCGTGAATTCTCAGCCTGATTGGCGTGGCTCAGTGGCTGAGGGTCGACCTTTGAACCAGGAGGTCACAGTTCAATTCCCAGTCAGGGCACATGCCAGGGTTGGGGTATTGATCCCCAGTGTGGGGTGTGCAGGAGGCAGCTGATCCATGGTTCTCTCTCATCATTGATGCTTCTATCTCCCTCTCCCTTCCTCTCTGACATCAATAAGAATATATTTAAAATAAATAAATAGACAATGAAGCCGCCTTTCTAACGACAAACGGCCAATCCGGTCACTTGACAAGCTTCCCTCAGCGGTGGCGTTCCTTCTGCAAGTGACCACCTGTCTCCTGCGCCATGAGCGCCCGGCTCCAGCCCGAGTCCGGGGAGCAGGAACCCTGGCCACACAGCAGGTGCAGGTCCCCATCCCTGTCCCGGGCCTAGGACAGTGCTCAGCCAATGAGACGCTAGCTCCAGCGGAGGGTGGGGGGGCCTGCCCCGCCCTCTCCCACACACCACTGAGCCCCCAGGCTCCCCGGCCTTTCGTGACCCCCATCGACCCCCACGGCTCTGAGCTCTGACATCACACACTCATCTGTTCCCAGTTTGACCCCCACACGAAGGGGAGCTGGCGGCGGGCCCTTGTTGCCCCCACGGCTCCGCCCTGGTGAGCATGACACGGACATTTCTTTTTTTTTTTCTTTTGAGAGGAAGGGAGAGGGAGAGATAGAAACATCAAGATGAGAGAGAATCACGGATTGGCTGCCTCCTGCACATTCCACACTGGGAATTGAGCCCACAACCTGGGCATGTGCCCTGACCGGCAATCAAACCATGACCTCCTGGTTCATAGGTCGATACTCAACCACTGAGCCACGCCGGCCGGGCTAGACATTTCTTCAATGAGCGAATGAGTGAGTGAATGGGTGAGTGAGTGAATGGGTGAGTGGATGAACAGTTCATGGACGAGTAACCAGTGTACAGATGGGCATGAATCACCGAATGAGGGTGAATGAGCGATTGTCCCAGCGGAAGTGGCACGCCCGGGAGGGTGAGCCTCCTGCCTGTGGACACCCTCTGTGGCCCTCAGCCTCACCTGGTCACCCACTTTGTGGGCGATGACGCTGGCTCCCTCCTCCTGTTCCGTGTCATTGAGCGGGCGGATCCGAAGCGCTACCTGTGGGCGGGGCACTATGCAGCTGCGTCCGGGGCCTCGTTCCCCCCTCGGCCCTTCCTTGCCGTCCCCACCAGGGCGTCCCACTCCTAGTGGAGCAGGTAAGACAAGCGAGCAAACCCCAAGCCCCTCCAGGCATAACTTTTTAAAAACATATTTTTATTGATTCCAGAGAGGAAGGGAGAGGGGGAGAGAGGAACATCGATGAGAGAATCATTGATCTGCAGCCCCCTGCCCGCCCCTACTGGGGATGGAGCCTGCAACCCAGGCCTGTGCCCTGACTGGGAATTGAACTGTGACCTCCTGGTTCCTAGTTCAACGCTCAACCCCTGAGCCACCAGCCGGGCCAGGCATAACCTCCCACCCAGGAGCACAAGATGTTCGCACCCACAGGGCGCTCAGAGGAGGGACTTCAGCGGCCGGCTCAGTCTCGGAAGGGAAGACAGAGGCACTCGCCCAGTCCCACAGCCACTCGTGGTCCTGCCCTCACCTGGCCCTCTGCTCGCAGAAGGTGCAAAGGCTCCATGGCCCATCGCTCTGCACTCCCCGCCCCTCTAAGGGAGCACGAGGGAGCCCTGTGGAATCGCAGACCAGGGCCCCAAATCCTCCTCCATCCCGTGAGAGCCGTGCCCCCACCCCACCCCTGCTTTCTCCTGGGAGACACAGAAGCTGGGCTCCTCCCTGGGGCAGTCATGGCGGGTCGCTCTGTAACCAGCCTACAGGTGTGGGGCAGGTCCCTGGCCCCATCTCACCCAACGGGCAAAGGGGCCAAGGTTCCAGTGACCCAGCAGGTGGGTCTGGTCAGGCCTCGCAGGGCCGGGACGGGGCCAGGTGGAGGGCCTACCCCATCCCGTCTGGGGGTCCTGGTCCAGGCACTGAGTCCCCGGGGAGGGAGATTCAGAGGCGGGAGTAAAGGGGTATCTGGAGAAGGGTCGCTACACCCCAGGAGGGCAGTCCCCAGGAGGGAGGCGGGCGGGCCTGCACGGCTGGGCGCGGGGGCGGAGGTCAGCAGGCAGCCAGGAGCGGGAGGCAGCCTCGGTACACACAGCCCCACGGCTGTCAGGCCACACAAGGGACACTCACCGTGAGCTGCTGGTCCTTGGGTTCCATGTCCCTTATGGCAGGGCTGCCTGGGCTGGGGAGAGGTGGGCACACAGCCTGCTCCCTGCTCCCCGCTGTCCAGCTGCACAGACCTGCAGTGGGTGAGAGGGCACAGAGCCGGTGGTTACTGCTCCCTGCTCCCCGCTGTCCGGGCTGCACAGACCTGCGGTGCGTCACCTGCCCCGCCCTGGTGGCCCTGGTGACATCAGTGCTCCAGGGGCCCCTCAGGGATGCTGGGCTGCCCACGTGTTGCGGGTGGGCCCCAAGCAGCCAGGTGGCCCAAGCCCGGTGGGTACAGGCTGGCTGCCCGCCAGGAACATGGTTACAGCGCCAGCCTTTGACTGTGCGCTAATCTGACACCATGGCAACCCAGGCTCCTCTGCCCCCACCGCACCTGTGGAGCAGGTGCGCCTGCCCGAGCCCGGCCCCGCGTGGGCTTGCGGCTTCCCGTGGAAAGGGGGATGGACGCCCCCAGCCGACATGCAGTGCAGTGTTCCCAGCTGTGAGCGCTTTTCCCCGAGGAGCTTCTAAAGCACCTGCAGCTCTCGGGCTGGCGGACGAGGATGTGGCTGCTGCCCGTGGCTCACCCTGTCCGGCTGCGGCCCGAGCGCACCACCGCCTGCTCCTCTCCCACAGCGCCTCCAGGGACGCCGCTGCCTGCAGGTCAGGCCCTGACCGTGTGGCGGACTTGCAGGTCCCTGGCCACAGGCAGCCTCGCTGGTGCGAACCGTCAGTCACTCCTGCACTTGCTATGAACCAGAGACCTAGACCGTGAAGTTCAGGTCAGAAACCCCAACCACAGGGCCTCGGGGCCGCAGAGGCCACTCCAGGCTTGGGCCTTGGGTCGACTGCTCAAGGGCACCATGCGCTCCAGCCTCGGGCCTGGCAGACCAGACGTGGCACTTGGGTGGTCTCAGGCACACCCCCGTTCCCTTCCTCGGCCTCCGGGTCCACGTTGGACTCCAGGATCCGTCCCCAGCCATGAAGCGCCAGCCTGACCCGTCAGGACCCTGCTGGAGCCCAGGTGTCCAGGTTCTGGGCCAGGGGCCAGCCCACCCTCACACCGCCCCCCCCATGGGCCAGGAACTGCCCACGGGCCAGCTGGGAAACCATGTCTGCAGCAGAGGAATCAGAGCAAGCAGTGTTTCAGGACGTCTTTATTGACAAATTATGTAAAACAATTACAACTACTGAGTTTAAAGGCATGAAGTCAGTCCTTCGAAAGCGCTGGAATCTGTTAATGGAGCTAGGCCTTTTCCTGCTCCGGCAGGAAGGCGGCACCGTCGGCTCCGCTGAAGACCAGGAGAAACGGGCGACGCATTGCAGCGAGGACGCGCGCACAGAGACTTAAGGCTCTGAGAACAGACACAAGCACCTGTGGTCGGACGGGCCACGCTGGGCAGCAGGCCAGCCCACGCAACGGGCCAAAACCACACGGCTCTGCTCACTCCCCTTCAGTGGGGAAAGGTCACGTCATCAGAGGACCACAGAAGAGCAGCTAAAGCGACAGCTCAACAGGCCTCCGGGGAGGGTGGAAGGCCCTTCACGTCCGGGAATGACAGGCATGGAGAACCCCGAGACACTGTTACAACCCAGAGCTCAGCTGCGCAGCAGGACCCCACCACGGGGTGCACCCAGCCTGCCACGCCTGCGCCTGAGCGCGTGACTGAGGAGCCGAGCCCCACAGGGGCAGGGAGAGGCACCAGATCACGGTCGCTACCTACGTTTAACGACAAAGAAGACAACTTGTTCGTACAGGTTTGCTTTTATTTCCATTGAGAACCTGCCACAGCCTGGACGCAAGACCAGGCGCTGGGTGCCCCCGCACAGGGACACGGTGCACTGCTCCCAGCTGCTGTCCAGGCCCCGGACAGCGCCCCCACAGGAGGCCGAGGGGATCGTCGCCTGGTGGTGCAGCAGGAGGCCCAGCTGCAGCTCCCACGGGAGTCTCAGTGACAAGCACGCGGTGACTCAGAAACCACAGGAGAGGCTGGAAGCAGTGCCCCGGGGCGCCCGCTGGACACCAGGGTAAAGGCACAGCTCTGGAGACGGCTCCCGGGCGCGGTCAGAGCGGGAAGCACAGGGACGCCTGGCTCCGGCACGAGGTGGTGCTGCAACGAGGGGACACGGCTGACCCTCTGTCCTGCACGCACAGGCCCACGTCAGGGACAGCACGGGGCAGCCACACCGCCCAGCCCCAGGAGCCAGCCCCAGCCCTCAGCCTGGCGCGGGGCTATGAGCAGCAGTCTCGCCGGTGGAGCCGTCCGAGGATGACCAGTCACTCCCCCGCCTGGGGCAGCACTGCCTGGACCCCAAGCCCCTCCCCTGACCCACAGCTCCCAGCTGCAAGGCCTCTAGGCCCTTCGTCACGGCAGCACCCGAGTCCCTGCCACACCCGACGGGGCTCCGAGGGCTCTCATCTCAGACCCAGCAGGGACGGGCACTGGGGGCCCTTCCCCCCACACTGGCCAGCCCCGCCATGGAGCTCCGGCCCCGACGCCTGGGCTGCATCTCACCGTCACAGCGCACAGCGAGGACCTCACTGACCTGAGAGGTGAGATGGACTTCCCTGCGTCACCCTGAACGGGACACTGGCTGACCTGCGTCCACAGGAGGCAGCTGCCGGGGGGGGGGGATGTCTTACCACAGTGCGGCCGGTCACTCCTGACTCCCCAGGGGGATGATCTCTTCCGTGACAAAGAACTCGATGGTCTCCTCCTCCCAGTCATCCACGTTGCTGTCCAGCTCGTCGGTGTCCACGCCTAGAGGAGGGACAGAAGAGTGACAGAGGGGCGGGCGGTGCTGGCCGCAGCCTCAGGGAGCACGCGCACAGCC